TAGATAGCATGTTACGTAGCTTAGCAATGTTTCTAAGGTGGAAAAAGGCTGTTCTTGTAACATATGAAATATGATTTTCGAACGACAAGTTGCGGTCTAGTATAACACCCAGGTCTTTTACTGTTGTGGATAAAGTAACAGGACATCCGTCTATATTAAAGTTGTATTGTGAGAGGTTTTGTGAGTAGTTTTTTGGACCAATAAGTAATACCTCCGTTTTATCTGAATTTAATAGCAGGAAATTACGCGTCATCCAGCATTTTATATCTTTGAGACACTCTGTCATTTTAGATGAGTTAGTGTTTTCATCTGGTCGTGATGAAATATATAATTGAGTGTCGTCAGCGTAACAGTGGAAATTAATTCCATGTTTTCTTATAATATTACCAAGTGGCAGCATATATATTGAGAATAGCAGAGGGCCTAAAACTGATCCTTACTCCATAGTCTACTGACGTTATCTTTGATTTTTTCCCATTTAAACAGACAAAATGAGAACGGTCCGATAAGTACGATCTAAACCAGCTTAATGCCTGTCCTTGAACACCGGTGAAGTTTTGTAGTCGATCCAAGAGTATTTTATGATCTATAGTGTCGAACGCAGCGCTAAGATCAAGTAGGACTAGTATTGAGATACAGCCTTGGTCAGAAGCTAAAAGTAAATCATTTGTAATTTTAACTAGCGCAGTTTCTGTACTATGATGCGGTCTGAATCCTGACTGGAATTTTTCATAGATATCATTTTCTTGCAGGAAAGAGCACAATTGAGCGGACACTACTTTTTCAAGTATTTTGGACATAAATGGAAGATTTGAAATGGGTCTGTAATTTGCCAAGTTATTTGGATCTAATTGCGGTTTCTTAATGAGCGGTTTTATTACAGCCAGCTTGTATATTTTTGGGACATGACCTAAAGATAAAGACGAGTTAATAATATTGAGGAGAGGCTCTTCCACTACAGGTAATAGTTCTTTCAGTAGTTTAGTGGGTATTGGATCTAATAAACAAGTTGTTGGTTTAGATGCAATGATAAGTTTATTTAGCTCCTCCTGTCCTATCGTTGTAAAGCGGTTTAGTTGTTCTAGAGGGTCCATAATTGAAGCTGAATCATAAGACACCATAGCGGATTGTACATTTATAATTTTGTTTCGGATGCTTTCTATTTTCGCGTTGAAGTAATTCATAAAATCATTACTACTAAACTGTAAAGGTATATTTTGCTCTGGTGATGTCTGTTTATTTGTTAGTCTAGCCACGGTGTTAAATAAAAACCTTGGATTATTTTGGTTATTTTCGATTAGTTTGCGGAGATGCTCAGCCCTGGCTGTTTTTAGTGTCTTTTTATAACGTGACATACTGTCTTTCCACGCGATTCTAAAGACCTCTAAATTAGTTCGTTTCCATTTACGCTCTAAGTTGCGAGTTTCTCTCTTGATAGCATGCGTAGCACTGTTGTACCACGGTGCTTTAATTTTCTCTCGAACCTTTTTTAATCTAATTGGCGCAACAATATCTAATGTACTAGTAAGAATGGTGCTTAAACTGCTAGTCATTTCCTCTAATTCATCTGTTTGTTTGGGTTCACTTAGCAGCTTAGATAGATCAGGTAAGCTATTTGAAAATCCATCTATAGTGGTTGGAAGGATTGTTCTGCCTGGTCTATAACGTGGCGCAACATGACATATTTCAGCAGTACGTATTATGCAAGTCACCATGTAATGATCAGTGACATCATCGCTTTGCGGTATAATATCTATATCAGTTGGATCGGTTCCATATGATATAATTAAATCTAGTGTATGATTTAGACGATGAGTGGGACCACTGACGTTTTGTTTGACCCCAAAGGAGTTTAATAAATCTGTAAACGCAGCCCCTAAAGCATCATTTGTATTATCTACGTGTATGTTAAAATCTCCAGCAATTATTGCTTTATCGACATTTACCAATAGATCCGAGAGAAAGTCTGCGAACTCTTTTAGGAATTCAGCATATGGCCCTGGAGGTCTATATACAGTAGCCAGGGCTAGAGATAATATAGATTTCCTTCTTACATCTAAGAGCGTAACATTTAGCACAAGTACTTCAAATGAATTAAACCTGTGACCTGTTTTCTGAGTAATATTAAAAATATCTTTATAGATTGTTGCAACACCGCCGCCACGACCGATCAGACGAGGCTCATGTTTATAACAGTATCCTGGCGGAGTAGATTCGTTTAGACCGAAATACTTATTTGGTTTAAGCCAGGTTTCAGTAAGGCACAGAACATCGAAGTTATTGTCTGTGACCATTTCATTTATGATAACCGCCTTAGGTGTGAGCGATCTAATGTTTAGGAGACCTAGCTTTAGAAATTGTTTTTGTTGACTGATATTTAGATTTTCTGGTTTAATTACAATAAGATTTTTGCTAGATCCTACACTAGATTTATTGTTTGGCTTCACTAAACGAGGAATAGACACAGTTTCTATATAATGTTCCACACTATGCTTATTAGTTAAGTTTGGACCGCAAAGGCTGTAATTTGGACTTTGACTCATTAGTCATCTGTGTGTTTATTTGAAAGCCTTTGCTTTAAAATTGCAAGGAAATTACATCATGATACATTTTTGTGTCAAATGCATACAAGTGTGTTTAGTGTTTTGCAAATCACTGTGTGTAATGTTTTGCAAAAAGTGTGAAGCTGACAATGTGCTTACAGTTGTGCAAATCTAGGCCGGTGTTTTGCTCCTTGAGTGTAAGGTTTTGCTTATTGTGGGAAAGTTCTAATTTTAGTGTGTAAGCAATCGAAAAAAACTGTAAGCCTTTTTTTTGTTCAGTGTTACACTTACTACAGACATTACATACATGAGTGTGTTGTAAAATATTTGAGAATATTGTTTTTATACCCAGAACACACAAATACACGGTAACAAATATATTTTATTTTTCCCCACAAAAACAAAGGGAGATAGATCGCACATTTCGCACATCCCAGCAACACAAATTTGCACATACAGTGGTCTACACACAGTGGTCAACACAACAGAAGAATACTGTATACAGTTACAGTAAAAAAAACAAATAAATAAATAAATAAATATGCTGCATCCTCTCTTCTGTTTCAGTCTTGTATGCTAAAGCTCTGATTGCTAATTGTAAAACTGTGTGACATGTGTTTACCCATATGACGAGTCAGTGTGAATATTTGAATGGCAGTGTTTTCCTCGTGAAAACAAGAGATTTTCTGGATGAAAATTGTGCCAAATGTAGAGAATTTGTCTGTAGTGTTTTGAAAAAAGTGTGTTTTAGAACTGCAATTTGAGTGTAAAGCAGGAATTGTGCTTGTAGTTTAGCAGAATATGCTTTATGCCCAGCTGCACTACTTCCTGAACTTCAGCCAGCTCCTTGGCCGTTTCTCAATATGCGTACTTGTCTGTACTTGTGTTCTTGTGGACTTGTGAAACGTCATCAGTCGCTGCCGAAGTACTGTTCCAATTCAAAGTTCGCATCTAGCCAAGTCCACTTCAAATCCCCGGATGTGTTCTTGATCCGCCCCGTTTACCGAGGATGCATCGAGAGGTGACTTGTGTGGACTTGAGATAGCCAGGTAACCCAGAATGCACCTCGCACCAACCAGCAAGCGTCAATGGGAGAGGAGAAAATCCGCAAAATATCAAAATACTACTGTTATTGAGTCATGAAATGTAATTTTAAGAGTGTTTCAGGCGAGAATGTGGTTGTTTAAATCTCAAATCTGTAGTTTATTTATAAAGATAGCGCCTATATTGTAAAATGCATCTGACGTTTTCGGAGTTCTGACATCCAAGCCTTCAGCGGACACTCAGCGAGATCAACCCCGACTGGAACAGCTTATCCTCGGCTAGTGCTTCTGACATTTGCCGCCGGCTCTGATCTCTCTAGTCTAGTGGATAAACCTTGACGTACAGTATAACTCGTCTTGTGTATAAGTCTATCTTTGATCTCATTAAACTATAATTTGTTCCATGGCGCAAAAAAAAAAAATAGTTTTTAAGGTTTCATGGCTATTTTTTTTATATTGTCTTCACTATTATATGAACAATAAAATAAAATGACATAACCCTGTCTCTGTTTGATAAATATCAATAATGTTTGTTAAAAATCCAATGTTTCATATTTTTAAAATGAAAACAAAAAGATCATGTTCATTTTGTTATAATATGTAACCGAGCTTTTGTATTGGGTTCGCCTAAACACTTTTAACTAATAAAATAACAAAAACGGGAGACAGAAGTTCCAGGAACGATGCAAACTCTCTTTATTCTTTCTTGAACACATGTGCCTCTCATTCACTTATGCGCATGCTCCTCCCCTCTTGCCTATGGCAAGTCCCAAAGGACAGAATGTGTTACACACGCATAAACAGAACATTACTGTAGCTTTAGCTTCTGTACCTACTTTAATCTGTTACATACGTCCCATCCCCCTAAAATAAACGTCCCCGTTTATCTACCAAAGAACAAGGGATAGAATGGAAAACAGGAACAAGAACAATACACATCAACATGTATAATACTCAAACCCATGTCCAACCATAAAACAGTTTGTACACTATGGAATCACAATGCTCACTTATACATTTTCCACTCTGCACAAGAATCTTTTTTTCTTTTTTTTACAACAATGAACCTCAGTACCGTACAAAATCTTTCAAGAAACCAGGAGGTTTCAACCTTCTCCCAGCCCTACTCATAACAGGAATGAGCTGTTCAGGTCCCTGAAGTACCTCCCCTAAATCCTCTCAAGGTGAACTGCACTTCACTCCCCCCAATATCTCAGGTTCCGTAGGAGGGGAATCAGGTAAAGAATCCGGAACCACAGACAGTTTCTCAGTAGAAGACGGTGTTGGAAAAGGCAGTGTATAAGGTCTCAACCTATTGTAATGTACAACCTGACCTCGTTCATCTGAGTCTATAGGGCTAACGATCCGGTACGTCAGTCCAGGCTCTCCACCAGACTCCATGACCTGCACAATCTCATAAAGGTCCTATCCAGTGGGGTGCTAGCTTCATTCGGCTCTCCACAGGGTTATTGAGCCACACCATGGCACCGACCGTATAGGGCTGATGTCTGAGGTCCGAATCATGGTATAGTTTATATCGATCAAACGCCACCTCACTGTACATTCTCGTGCTCCTGAAAGCGTTTTGCAGCTTTGCCAGCAGAGTGGATACGAAGTCAGCATGAGACTTTGAAACGTCACAGTCAAGTATACGGGTGGCCAGTAAACAGTCAGTGGGCATCCTTGGTTCCCGTCCATGGACTAGGAAGTATGGCGAGAACTTGGTACTAGAATGATTTGAGGAGTTGTATGCAAATGCTACCTGTTTGATATAATCATCCCATTCGCCCCCACACGACAAGAGTATCTTAGCAATTTGGTCAATCAACGTCCTGTTAAAACGCTCCACCATGCCGTCTGAGGCTGGGTGGTAGGGAGTAGTGCGCGTTTTCTTTATGTTGAGCAAGTTACACAGGGTCAGGACCACCTCTGATTCGAACTGTCGGCCCTGATCTGAATGTAAAGTTTCGGGAATGCCATGTAGTAGAATGTAGTCAGCAAACAGGCAATGTGCGACAGTTTGTGCAGATTGATTAGTCAAAGCATATAAATTAACAAACTTCGTGAAATAATCCTCAACTACCAGTACATAACGATAGTGTTAATTTTACCAGCCATTTTTAAATTTAGTTTCAGTTTTAGTCCAGTTTCAGCATCGCTTGTTAGTTTTTATCACATTTAGTCGACATCATCCCATTTTTATTTAGTCTAGTTTTAGTCGACTATAAGTCGAGCATTTTAGTCTTTATTTTAGTCCAAGAAAACATAATTTTATTCGTTTAGTTTTAGTCAAAAAAAACTGTCAACATTTTAGTCTAGTTTTAGTCAGGACATCATTTTAACCTTTTACTTTGTTGTCAGCAGATAATATTAAACATTTCCTAAAATTATTTCACATTTCAACATTTTCTCTCATCTTTTTGATAAAAAACACAATTTTTAGGAACACATGCAGACATGGAAGATGTACTGACAATATTTTCATATTTATTTTGAACATTGTTAAGGTTCAAAGACACAAACACAAATGCTTGCATTAAAACAAATAAAATACACCTGACAAAGGAAACAAATAAATAAAATAAAGTGTATTATGAACTTAACACAAGTGCTGGCTGTTTAAAGCTAGTTCACATAGAATAAAAAAATAAATAGATTTGAGGTCAATGTTGTGAAAAAAAAAAAAAAAAAAAACTCCAACTGATACAACAAAAGTGCTTTCCTGCCAGCTAGTTCACATGGTATATAAAGGTACAGTATTTAAGGTGAAACAAGGCATGGCTTGCTAGAACGTATGAAATCTTTTTAAAGCGTCTGTCTGCTTTAATCAAATTTAACTGAAACTATAGTTGCCCGGCCAGTATAACATATCTAAGTTAGCATAAATTTAACTTCACATACAATTCTATCAACAAGTGGCTACGGTCGCTACGTGCTAAGAAGCTAACGTAACATAGCCAGCCTGGATACTAAATGCTATGAAAGTTAGCCATCATTAGTTAGTTTATCATTGTAACAAAATGTGTCCATATATCACGTCTCTTCTTTCTCACGAGCCCCGTGCAAAGCATGTTTACTTTTAACCTGTCGCCGCCGCCTCACCGTGAATCCAGCTCCTGTCTGCTCCGTGTTGTGTAGGCTACTCTGACTGACTGTGCCCGGCTTCTTCTTCTTCTTCTTCTTCTTTGAGGTTATTGGCGGTTCGCATTCTTAAAAAGAGCATTACCGCCATCTACTGCAGGAATAGATCAGAGACACACTTATACCACAACTCCCAGAACAATCAGGACTTGTGCTTTCAATGTTGCTGCGTGTTCAGCTCCTCCATTTACAGCCAAAGTCCATCATCTTCCAGAGAAGGATACTGATACTAATAATACTAGCCTATATTCTAAAGATCAAATTTGTTCTACTTAAAAATTTTATTATTAACCAGGGCTGGGCGATATATCGAACGATATTGAATGCGCATCTAATCAGTAAAGCCGGTTCCTTGATTAGCAGTAAATCACCTTCACCTGCTTTCAGATGGAGCGGCATTCACTACAAAGAGCCGTAGATCACTGACAAGCTGAGCCAAATCGCGTTAATATCGAGGACATATCGATATCGATATTTAATGCGATATGGCTCAGCTGGTCAGTGAACTACGGCTCTTCGTCAGGACAAAACCTCCCGTGTTAAACTAACACACCTGGGCTGGGAGTGTATATGAGTCCGCACTCAAGAGTCAAGAGTGTTAAAGTTAATGAGATAATTAAGTGATTAAATGAGTGATGATTGAGCATTATTGAAAACACCTAAAGCAGAATCACAAGGAAAAAATCTAAAATCTTAAGCCACCGTTATGGAGATGAGTGTTTGCTTTAGTTGGGCTCTTGACCCTTAAATTATACATCTTATATTTTAATTTGCTGTTGCGTCTGAGTTATATCTATCAGATGAGCAAAGATAAACAATTATAAAATGATGTTGGTTATATAATGACTTTCATCATTTAAAAACTTATGTCTGTGATTTATTCTGTTGGTTAATGTATAACTGAGATTCTGCATAAACATCCAGAACATTAAATATAATATAATGGATTTCTCAAAAGTTGTTTAAAAAAAAAAAATCTTTATTTAAGGCACACACAGACCTCAAGATTCGGTCAATGCTTCTCAACAACGGTGATGAGTAGAATATTCAAGTAGGAAAAGTAAATTACATAGACAATTCAGATCATAATTTATTCAAACCGCAATGCATGTTGGGAGACATTAATGAGTTGTGATTGGTGGCAAAATGTCACCACGGTTGAGACAGGCTGATTATTGATCTCTGTTTTTCTGAACAAAGATGGCAGTGATTTGATCAGATTAAATATTTTAGGTTATAAGTAAAATACAGATATGCAGCAGAACCACAAAACTGTAGCGAACAAGTTAACCGAATCAACTGAATAAGTTTCATTTTTCAGAGCACTGCATGATTATGTCAAAACATAACCAACACTATCATTTCACAGTTGCCTGTGTTTATTTGACTGTTATAAATCAATATCAACAGGCAAACAAAATCTAAAGTGAAAGTATAAGTGTCAAGAGCCCAACTAAAGCAAACACTGATCTCCATAACGGTGGCTTACAATTTGTGATTTTGTCCTTCAGCGATTCTGCTTGTGATCATCAGGTGTCATCAATAATGCTCAATCATCACTAAATTAATCACTTAATTATCTAAATAACAGTTTAATGTAACACTCATATCGTCCATCTGAAAGCAGGTGAAGGTGATTTACTGCTAATCAAGGAACCGGCTTTACTGATTAGATGCGCATAACAATATCGTGCGATATATCGCCCAGCCCTGTTATTAACCTACTCCCCTCTGCTGAGTTTAAAACCATCTTTAACGTTAATTGTTGATTATCTTTCAACTTAAATTCTTCAATCATTTTACTTCTTTCCTCGGAATATTTATTACACTTAATAAGTACATGCTCCACTGTTTCTCTGATTCCACACCATTCACATAATCCTGTAGGATGTTTTCCAATTATTTGCATTGTTGAATTAAGTCCTGTATGTCCCAGTCTTAATCTAGAAATAATACAGTCTTCCTTCCTTCTCCCAAATGAATTCCTTCCTCTACCTACCAATGGTTGTATTAAATGTAAATGTCTACCTTTTTCCTCATTATCCCAATACGATTGCCAATTTTTATTTATCTCCCTTTTAATTATTGATTTCATTTCTAATTTACTACACCCAATTTGAATATCTATATTTTCCTTTGCCATAGAGTGTTTTGCTAGTTTATCTGCTGCTTCATTTCCAGCCACTCCAGTATGTGCCGGAACCCATAAAAACTGAACTATCTTATTTTTTTGTTGCATCATAAACAATATCTGTAATATTTCCAACACAATATCCTGTCTAGTATCTGATTTTTGAGCTTCTAGGCACATCAAGGCTGAACTTGAATCTGAGCATATTAAAGTTTTATTTATCCCCATTTCACTTATTTTATTAATTGCTACCATAATTGCTAGTAGCTCTCCTGTAAACACTGATACATGGTCTGATACTCTTTCCCCTCTTGCCACTTTCAATCTGGGAATGATATATGCTACCCCTACTTGTCCCTTCTGTGGATCCTTAGATGCATCTGTGAAAACCTTTATATATTGTTCATATTTAATACCAATATACTCTTTTGCCATCTCTGCTTCCGACATCCTCTGTTCTTTATCTTTTCTTGATTCCAATAAGAATAGATCTACATATGGTTGAGGTAAAATCCATAATGGTGTTATTGGTAATATTACTGCTGGAATAACTCTATACTCATCTAATTTCATACTCTGAACTAAATCCTTAATAATCCAACCAAAACTGTTAACTTTTCCTTTCCCATATTCCCAACATGTTTCCATTATACCTTTTGTTGGATGATTATCCTTCTGCCCTTTTAGGTTTATCCAGTATGTCAGTATCAATTGTTTCCTTCTTAAGTGAATTGGCATCTCCCCCATCTCCACCTGTAAAGCTGAAACAGGAGATGACGGATAAGCTCCACAACATATTCTCAAAGCTCGTGATTGGATTCGTTCCAATTTTCCTAGCTGTGACTTAGTTGCTGTTCCATATGCGATACAACCATAATCTAGTACTGCTCTTATCATTGTTGAATAAATTGTTTTTAATGCAACCCTATCAGCTCCCCATTCTCGTCCTGAAATACACCTCATTACATTTAAGATCTTCTTACATTTATCCTCCATCTTATTTATGTGTACATTCCATGTAATCTTTGTATCAAACCACATACCTAAAAACCTTATCACTTTAACTTGTTCTATCTCTTTGTTGTATAAATTAATCTTTAGATCAATACTTGATCTTTTATTTGTAAAATATATATATTTGGTTTTCTCTACTGAGAATTTAAAACCCCATTTGTAAGACCATTCCTCTACATTTTTTAAAGCTGCTTGCATTTTATTAACAATATACTCTACATTCCTACCTCTAAACCACAAAGCTCCATCATCCGCAAACAGTGATTTATTTACATTCTTATCTATTGTTGCAAATACATCATTAATCATAATAATAAACAACAAAGGACTTATAACACTACCCTGCGGAGTTCCATTCTCAATTATTCCTTTCCTTGATATATATTCTCCAATCTTCACTTTAATATTCCTTTCAATTAAAAACTCTTTAATCCAATTATATAATTTTCCTTCTATTCCAATTTGATCTAACTTTATCAACAATCCCTCCTTCCATAACATGTCGTAAGCTTTTTCAACATCAAAGAAAACCGCTATTAGAGTTTCTTTATTTATCAATGCTTTCCTTATATCTGATTCCAATTTAACAATTGAGTCCATTGTACTCTTTCCATGTCTAAAACCATTTTGATATGGGGAAAAAAAATTATTCTTCTCCATATGATACATTAAACGATCTGTAATCATTTTTTCCATAACTTTACCTAGATGTGATGTTAACGCTATCGGTCTGTAGTTTAAAGGGATACTTGGATCTTTACCTGGTTTTTTAATGGGAATTATTACTGCTTCTTTCCATCTCTTAGGTAAAATCCCCTCCTCCCATACCCTATTATAAAACTGTAGAATAATTTTAAGAGATTCATCACTTAACTTTTTTAACATTACATAACTAATTCCGTCCTGTCCAGGAGTTGAAGCTTTAGTGTTTTTTAATGCCCTCTTTAATTCTGAATATGAAAAAGGCGCATCTAGACAACTATTTGTTACTCTCTTTTTTTCTAATATAAATGGATGTTCTTTTAACAACTTCTCCCTCTTTTCCTTACATTCCCTCATCAAATTATCTGAACTATTTATTTTTGAGAATTCTTTCCTAAACATTTCTGCTTTTTCCTCATCACTTATTGCTATTTCTTCCCCAATACATAACACAGGGTACTCATACTCTCTTCGAAGACCACTCATCTTTTTAATCATACTCCATACTTCCTTGATTGGAGTATTTTTCCCTATTTCTTCACAATTTGATCTCCAATACTTTTTCTTCATTTCCCTTATTGTTCTTCTGGTTTCTGCTTGAGCTTTTTTATATATTATCATGTTTTCCCAATTATGAGTTTTCCTTAAAATTTTAAATGCTTTCCTTTTCCTTTTAACTGCTATTGCACACTCCTCGTTCCACCATGGAACTATTTTCCCCACCCTCTTTCCCTTGCTTTTTGGAATGCATTCTCTAGCAGCATTCTGTATCACTGATATTAATTCTGCATATATTCTTTCAATTATTATTCTTTCATTCATTTTGATCATTATTAATCCTTCCTCACATAATCTTTCAAATTTTTCCCAATCTGCTTTCTCATACTTCCATTTTCCTGTATTTCCTTTCTTTATATTCCCTACCTCCTTATTTACAATTGAACTTAATATTGGGAAATGATCACTACCCACTGTACAATTTAATACCTCCCAATTAATTATTCCCCCTAATGCATTAGAAACAATAGTTAGATCTATTGCAGATTCCCTGCCTGAATTTACATCCATTCGTGTTTTTGTTCCATCATTTATACAAACCAAATTATTCCTTTCCATCACCTCTTCAATGACCATACCATTTGCATCTGTCAATAAACCTCCCCATAAAGTATTGTGGGCATTAAAATCCCCGCACCATATTACTCTACTTCCTCTTAATCCCGTTATTGTTTCCATACCTTCTTGTGTTAATCTTTTACACGGATTATAAAAGTTAATTATAATGTAGCTTTTATTTCCAAACCATATTTCTACTACTATATATTCCATTGCTTCCCCCTTATCCAAAATTCTATTCCCTCTTTAACAAAATTAACACATCCTCCTCCTTTTCCTTCTTCCCGATCTCTTCTAACACTTATGTATCCTTTTAAAACAAATTCTAGTGTAGGATTCAACCATGACTCTTGAATACAAATTACATCTGGCTTATCTTTCATTTGGTTTATATATCCTTTAAACTCTTGACCATTAGCACAAAGGCTCCTGGCATTCCATTGTAAAATATTTAACATACTAACCAACCCCTAAATCCTGACTTGACTGAAATTCTGTATTAAGATTTTTCATTATATCTTCACATTTCAATCCCTTAATATCTAGAAATCTCTCTGCTGCCTTTACTATTATTTGTAATTTTTCTGTTCTTCTTTCTGTTTGCGCTGTACAATTAATTACCTCCACCATGAATAGTACAAAATTTCTCTTACTTGCTAGCATTACATCTTCTGGTACTCTGTCTTCTTCTTCAATTCTTCTTGCACCTTCATTTCTTTTTCCATATTCCAATCTCTCAGTCTCCTTTTGCCTATCTCTATCTTTTACTATTTTCACAGCTTCGGCATAAGTTCGATTGTTTCTTGCCTTTTCTTGTTGCACTTCCACAGCCTTTTTCCTCACCTCACAACCTCCATATGCCACATTGTGACTACCTCCACAGTTACAGCACTTCAATCCTACTCCTTCTCCACACTTCCCAAATTCATGTTCCCCTCCACATCTCGCACACCTCATTTTAGATTTACACACTGACGCAGTATGTCCATATCTCTGACAATTATAACACCTCAAAGGAGGGGCTATATACTTCCTAATCGGATAACTAATATAACCCATCTTAATCCGATCTGGCACTTCTTTTCCTTCCAATTTTAGACGAACTGACAAGCTATCCATTCTTCTACCTTCTCTGTTCATTTGCAGTCGGACTGCATCTATGACCTTTGCCCCTTCCAGATTCTGTTTTAATTCCTCCATAGTAACTCCTAACGGAATTCCATTTATTACTCCATATACCCATGACTCTTGTCCTACAATCTTGTAATTCAATACCATCTGTTTCCCAACTGTCTTTATTTTTATGGCTTTATTTTTTTGCTCTTCATTCCTACATGCTATCATTAAAGCTCCATCTTGTAGCACTTTTGCGAAAGCTATCTCTCCTACCAGCTTTTTTAGTTCATATGTCAATGTCAATGGATTAACTCCCGAAACTCCTAACTCTCCTTTAAACTTCAATATTATCCTAACTTCATTCTTGTTATTACTTCGTTCCTCCCCATCTTCCTCACTAGCTATTGAACTGCTTTCTGATCTTTCCTCCTTATTTTTCCTCTTTTTATTAACCTTTTTTCCTGTTTTGACATTTGTCCATCCTACCTCCATATCATCTTCCTCTTCACCTGTTTCTTCCATTCGAGTCTCTGATCCATTCCCACTTCGATTTCCTCGATCTCTCTTATTCGTATTTTTTGACTTATTTGAATTGGCCGCCGCCATCGACTACTCGCGTTGTCCCAGCCCAGGTGAGCCGAGCCAACTCGCCCTGTGCCCGGCTGCCCGCCCGCTCCAGGTTTGAAAGTGGGTGGGTGTGTGGTGGAAGAGCTGACGAGGAGGAGGCGGAGGAGGAGACAGTATTTGACAAAACCATATCATATAATATATGTAATTTTCGTCTCGTCTTTGTTCGTGAACTAAAATGTCCATAGATTTTAGCCCAGTCTTTATTTACCGAACTGCATTTTCGTCTCGTCTTTATTAGTCTACGAAAATTATTTCTGATTTACTCCCAGTTATTTTTTTTTTTTTTTTTTTTTTTATAATTTTATTTGTAGCAGTTTTTTTGTACACAAAACATATCCAAATCTCAAAAATGTTTACAGAAAGATTGTTTTACATAAAATAAAACTAAACAAACAGCACCCACCGCCCCCCACCCACCCACCCGCCCCCACAACAGACAGAGAGAATAAAAAAAAAATTACACTTTGAATCACTAAATCAAAATTGAAAAAAAAAAAAAATCATCATAATAAAATAAAATATAAATTGACAATGGAAAGAGGAAATAAGAAAAAAGTCATCCATATTACATACATGTCCAAAGATATTTCAATTCTTAGAAAGATACTTAAGGAAGGGGCCCCAGATTTTATCAAATTTTTTAGAGGCATCAGCTTTAGAAAAACGAATCCTTTCGAGCTTAAGGGCAGCAACCATTTCAGCCAGCCATTTATGAAAGCTGGGTGGTACAATGGACTTCCAGTCCATCAAAATCACCCTTTTGGCCACCACCATACCAAACGTTAGAGACAGTTGTTGAGAATGTGTCAATGCTAATGTTGGGTCGGAACACCCAAACAAAGCCAACTCAAAATCTGGACTAATCTCTTCTCCAAAAACATTTGAGTACCACGAAAGAATATTATTCCAAAACTCAGAAATCTCAGGGCAAAACCAAAAAGTATGAGCATGTGTCCCATCAGAGCGCTTGCATCTATAGCATAACGGGGAAACTGAGGGGTAAATTTTATTAAGTTTAAATTTGGTATAGTAATCTATGCAACACTTTGAACTGAATAAGTTGTAGTCTTGCATTAATAGAACAATTATGGATTCGCTTTAGACCTTCTTCCCAAATCTCATTTGAGATATTAATTCCTGTATCATTTTCCCATGCTACTTTAATGTGCTCAGAAGAGACTGGAAATTGAGATACAAACAAGGAAACAAACCGTGTCACCAACTGTTTAGCATTAGGGGGTTGACCCAGAAGACAATATAAATTATGATCCTGAGGCAACCCCTGAAACTCATTAAAAGAATGTTTAATGAAATGACGCACCTGAAGATAACGGAAAAATTGTGATTGGGAAAGATCAAATGTTTTATACAAGTGCTCGAAAGTGGCAAATTTTCCATCTGTATAGAAGTCCTTAATCATGGTCAATCCTTTGCTTCTCCACAGTGAAAATACCCTATCTGACTGGCCAGGCAAAAAATTTGGATTATCACAAATGGACTGGAAAACTGAAGGACGTGTAATATTCAAAACAGTCTTCAATTGATTTAAAATTCTAATGGAATTGAGCACAACATCATTTTTACATTGAAACTTCTTTAAAGATACAGGGATTGAAAAAAGAATAGCGGCAAGAGAGCTACCCACAACTGACCGAGCTTCCATGTACAGCCACCTGGGCTGGGTGTCCTCCAAGTTCTCACCAGCTTGGTCACTGATCTGCCAGAACATCATAGCCCCCTGGCATTAGCAGCCCAATAATAATGACGGAAAACAGGTAGCGCAAGACCACCCAAATCTTTCGGCTTCTGCAAATGGACCTTCGAAATTCTATGTGCTTTATAACCCCAAATAAATGGCAAAATGACAGAGTCTAATTGTTTAAAAAAAGAATGTGGCAGGTATATAGGCAGGTTCTGAAAAAGATAAACAAAGCGAGGCAAAGAGACCATTTTAATAGCATTGACCCGACCAATTAAAGATAACGGGAGTACCCTCCATTTATCAATATATATTTTTAACTTATTCATGGCTTCGGAAAAATTTAGACTGAAAATTTGTTTAAATTTCTTAGGAATAGTTAACCCTAAGTAAGTGAAATGGTCCTCTGTTATTCTAAAAGGTAATGACCTCAGAAACTGAGCATCTAGTCCCTCACCCAAGGGCATGAATACACTCTTCTCCCAATTAACAGAATAACCAGAGAAAGAGCCGAATACCTCAAGTGATTCCATTAAAAAAGGCAAAGCAGAAGAGGGATCACTCAAATATAAAAGCAGGTCGTCTGCATATAAGGACAGTTTAACCTCAGAGTGACCACATAATATACCCCTAATCTCAGAGTGATTACGAAGATGGATGGCGAGGGGTTCTAAAGCTAGATCAAATAGCAGTGGGCTTAGACAGCAGCCCTGACGTGTACCACGCTGAAGAGGAAAGAAAGCAGACCTATCCGAATTAGTAAGAATTGCAGATTTAGGGGAAAAGTAGAGCATTTTTATGATTCGCTTGTAATTCTCACCAAAACCAAACCGATCCAACACAGAAAACAAATAACTCCATTCTATTCGATCGAAGGCCTTTTCAGCATCTAAAGAAATAACTGCTGCCTTGGAAATCTTACTCTGATTACTGCATACA